GGGTTTAGGGTTTAGGGGTAGCCTACATACTTTAGGTGGGCACTAACAGACTACCTACTGTAGAGCCTCAAAATGCCCACGGTAGTTGCTTACGTGCGCGAGATTTTGGGATCTCAAGCCATGTTTATGGAGACTTTGTTGCTCTGAAGCTAAAACCCTAAGGGTCCATGTGCCTATGTAGTATATACTTGGGCCCTAAAGCGACGCCGTATGGGAACCCCTTTAAGGCCCAAGTATATACTATACAGGTACATGGACCCTTAGGGAAAAATGCGCAAAGGGTTCGCTTCTGCTATCGAGACCCACTGCAGTGCCCACCTGGCCAAGCGCATCTTATTCGGTCTACCTCCCTTAGGCCCGCTTGACATCCGAAGACACAGGATCCGCAAATCCCCAGAACAGGGGTTTTGTCTAGAAGGAAGTTTCGAGAACAAAACAGCTCTGAGCCCAAATAGCTTATGACCCCTCAGTGCGCCACCCCGCAAAAACATGAAAATCCTAAAGCACCCATCTCCAAACTGACCTAAATCACCATATAAAGCCTCGTTTTCGCTCAGTCTTTCACGACCGGAATTCAGGGCATGGGTATGGGCGCCGAAAACTAAAGCTCTCTGGGTCTAAGGCAAGTATTAAACCCTGTGTGAACCTGTCTGAATGGCACCTCATGTCCCCCTAATTGCAGCCTCATAGGTACCTAGAAGTAGGGTTCACAGTAGGGTAACTCTATCTATACCTCTAAGTGTAACCCGCTTCTATCCGGCGCCCTACACGTTCAAAAAAATCCTTTGCGGGATCCCGTGGGCTTCTAGTACTCTCCATTTGCACCAAGCTCGTGAGCAGACCCTGTCGCCCCACTACTTTTGCTTGTGGTGCTTCTCGATCCACTCGATCCTGTCGGCATCGGTCACCGTGTAAGTTTAGGGCTTTCGTCTCGGGCAGGGATGAAAATCGTTAATGCTCTCCTAAGGGCCCCATACTTCAGATCCCTTGAGAGAAGGCAAGGGACCAAACTCAGGGCCTATGAAACTGCCCTCAGACTACTAGACTCAAGAGTGGCCTAGGAATAAACAGGGTGCCCTTCTTGGCTTAGAGGGGCTTGTAAGGGAACCTAGACACTAAAAGAGGTTGATGAGGGCCTACTCTGGATCCTATACTGGACCCGGAAGTAACCTATGAAAAGGGTACCCTTTTTTTGGTTTTAAGGGGATGATAAGGGATCCCCAACAGCTCCCCCCCTCCCGTCATCCCCTAGACCGATTCTGAGAACTGGCTTAGGGTTTAGGCTTTTGGAGGCAAACCGTAAACCCTTGTAAGTTACAAGCCCGTGTAGAAGCCCTGAAATACACACATATATATATATATATATGTATACACACACATACACACATACACACATACACACATACACACATACACACATACACACATACACACATACACACATACACACATACACACATACACACATACACACATACACACATACACACATACATACATACATACATACATACATACATACATACATACATACATACATACATACATACATACATACATACATCCTACATACATACATACATGCATACATACATCCTACATACATACATATATATATATACACGAACATGTATATTTCTATATACAGGTGCCCGGTAAGCCCCTGCAAGCCCTTATACGTGTAAGCCCTTGCAAGCCCCGTGGAAAACCCCTCTCGAAGCTGATTTCTCAGGAAAAAAGAGGGGATGTGAGTGCCTTCGAAGTGATTGGACAAGCTCCTAAGAAACAAAGGGCTTCAGGGTTGAGGGTCAGGGTTTAGGGTTTACAATCCGGCGCGGCCTCTTCCGGTAGTTGTCGGCCTTCTGTTCCAGGCGCATCATCTCCTTGTACAAGTTCTCCACCTGCTCACAGAGAGGGCCCCCCTTACTATACTAACCATAGTTAAGGGAGGTATAACCTCAGTCAGGATCCTTATAACCCAACTTAGGGTCCTTATAACTCTACAAATAACTAGGGGGGGGGGGGGGCCCCTCCTTGCCCAGCCCTAAAACTTAAACCCTACACCCCAAACCCCTATGAACCCTAAACCCTAGACCCTAGACGGGTCTAGACCTTAAACCTATTCTAGGTAGGGTCTAAGGCTTAAGGGGATATGCTTGCAGTCTACGCCTCAGGAAGCAAAGCCCTCGACACTCAGCTAAAACCCCAACACTACCCTTAAACCCAAAACCTAAGCTCTTGAACCCCAAAAGAAGTCTTAAACCTTGAGCCCCTAACCGCCTAAACTCGTCAATCTAATACCATACCCCCTTAACACTCCAAATCCTCAACCCTAAAGCGGGTGTCCAAGGGACTCAGATGATCGTTCGGGCTTCGAGCAGCATTCTTTGGGGAGCAAGCTTATTTTAGGGCCTATGGGCTTAGGGTGTACATAGCGTTTAGGGTTCAGAATTAGGGTGAAACTCAATGTGTTTGGAGTCGTGAAGTTGTCAGTGTGTTAAATTAAGGGCTGTCGTGTAGCGGCAACTTCAATGCGCGCTGGCGACATGTTCATACGGCGGATGTTGTTCACTAGAGTCCTGTTTCTTGTCGGTTGCTAGTATATATAATTAGGACGCCCCTGTACAGGACGCCCCTGTACAGGAACCAAAGTACAGTAGGGATGCGTGTCTTGTCATGGATCGGTTTCGGGCCAGGGGTGTAGCCGGAACCTTAAAATGCACCCACTCCTGAGTTGCTGTTGAGGAAACTGAGTTACTACAGTTATTTTGGGATGTATAGAAAAACGTACTATAAAGAAAATAACAAGTTGAATAATATCGTTGCCTGATCCTGGTAGCCTAAGCCCTTAACCCTCAAACCCTGAACCCTTAAACCCCTAATCCCTGACACATAAGCCCTAAAACCCTAAACCCTACACCCCAATCTCCAACCCATAAACCCTAAACCCCAATCCCTTCGCTAAGTGGTGAAGCCTGCCGCTGAGACGTTGCTGCCAGGGTGTCAAGCACCTGCGCCCACCAAAATGACCCCTAAACCCTAAACCCTAAACCCTAAACCCTAAACCCTAAACCCTAAACCCTAAACCCTAAACACCAAGGAATGGGGGGCTGAGGATCCAGCAGAGGGAACACCTCAACCTTGCATTTCACTAAGACTACCAGGGCGTAGCGCATGGGGTTTAGGGTCTCGAAACCCTTTCATCCTACAAGGAGGGGCCCCCACTAGTTCTAAGTGGAGTGAGAAAAAAGACCCTACGAACTTGGGAGTATATAAGGGGGTGCCCTACTTGAGGAAAAAACTGCGCATGTTCATTGCCGCAGTCCTCTGAAACGCTAAAGCAGAAGAACTGCTAAACCCAAACCCCTGCGGCGCAGCGCTATGTCACAAAGCAGATTTGTTGGCGTATGGGGGCCCTTTGTTGGCTTATAAACTGAGCCCTCAGGGCTTTAAACCCTAAACCCAAAACCCGGAACCCTGAAACCCTAAACCCCTAACCCTGAACCCTAAACCCCTCTAAACCGAGGAACGCAATAATGAGAACGCTCAGTGCTTTAAACCCTATACCCTAAACCCTAAACCCTGAACCCTGAACCCTGAAACCCTAAACCCCTAACCCTGAACCCTAAACCCTAAACCCTGAACCCTAAACCCTAAACCCTATAAACCCTAAACCGCCTGGGGCCCAGCCCTAAGCCCTAAGCCCCCTTTTGTCCGAAACAGCTCTGGGTGCAACTGCACGCCAGCCCCCTTAAGGGTCCACGAGCATTTTTGTTCTTTCTAGGGTTTAGGGTTTAGGGTTTAGGGTTTAGGGTTTAGGGTGATTGGGGAAGGCGAGTCATGAGTGAGGTTTTGGGTTGGGCTCTATAGGGCCTACTTCAGGACTTATGGATGTGGATGCTGGGCAGGGTACAGGTGCCCTACGCGCAACTGTCACTTTAGGTATCCATGACCCTGCAAGGGAATGCTTGGACCCCAACATAAGTCTTGGGCTAAGTAACAACTACATGGGTACGTGGACCCTTTGAGCGTGGTAGTCTCCGAACTCATGATTGCCTTCTCGAGTCGCACGGCCGAATGCATACAGCAACGCCTGCGCAACTGAGTCCTATGACCCACAAGCCAGGTCGGGCGTTGATGAAAGCCTTTGTGGCCTGCAATCCACTCCCTTCGTATACATGACCCTTAGTACCAAATTGTCCCCATAGTGTTTTTTTTTAAGGGGCAGCTTTCCAGGGTCATAGGGCTGCCACAAAGCGGGGCTAGCTTGCCCCACTTGCCTGCCTCTCACCCGCGTAGCCGCAAGTCTGCCGCACTGTGAGGCAGACTTGTGCCGACCCTCTGGTGGGCGAGCGGGCTCACATTGGCGCGATTGTGAGGCAGACTTCTGGCTACCTACCCCTGGAAGTCGTGGGCTTGTAGGGTTTTAGGTTGCCTGGGGCCTCAAGCAAGCCCTAAACTTTAAATTAGCGCGCAGCTTGCTGCCCGTGCACTTGGTTTCGGGCTTCGGGTTTGATGGTTCAACCTCGTGGACGTGTATGATGGTTCATATACCTTAATGGGAACTCAAGTGGTATTTGACCCATTTTTTAGGTTTCATTTGGTCCCCCACGGGAAGGTTTCAGGGTTTACAGCCATGGCCAAAGCCAGCTTGGCAAGCCTTAAACCCTAAACCCTAAACCCTGAGCCCTAAGCCCAAAAAAACCCGAATGGAGGTGCCTACTGTTTGTGCAGGTCTCGCCCTTAAAAACCTAGAGGGCTAGAACATCTGCAGCCGTGAGCCGGAACACCTCATTCCGATGACAAACCCGGAGTTCTAGATGCTGAGTTCATAAGGACCCCCCCCCCCTTCAAAAAAAAACATATATATATATATGTACACATATATATATATATACACTTTCAGTTCTATAGATGATTCTATTCTCCCCAAAAAGTGTACAGTGTAGTCACTCAGCTACTAAGGAATGGCATCGCAGCGGGCGTCGCCACGCTCACTTTCACGGCGCGGCTTGTGTGCTGCCGTCGCGATCGCGCTCTGCACAAATGCTACGATGAATTTCTTCGGCGACCGACTTGATGGTATCATTCGGACAGTACAGTGGCTGGGGGAGATGATTTCCTAGGATGGACCTTGAAACCCTATGAAAAAACACTCCTAAATATGATGCTCTTAAACCCAACCAAAAAACATAAAAGACTCTAAAGGGCCTACCGAGCTTCCAAAGTTCTCGCGCAGCAGCATGTTCAGATGGGTATTGGCCAGCTCGTCGAGGGGCAGGCGTTCCAAGGGAACATCTGCATACTCGCCCATCTCCAGCGGCTCATTGAAGGCGTGCTCCATCACTTCGTGACACCACACCTCCTAGGAGGGCCCTCCGAAAAGATCCACATGATCCTCCCATACCCCAATTTTGTCAGAAAAATATGAAAATGTCCCAAGGGCCTAGCTTCAATCGCTTCTAAACTCTGCATTGCTGTTGCGGTCACCTCTAACTTCCCATCTTTAGCCAGGCGGTACAGGGAGTGGAAGTTGTTGCCTCGGTCGCCCAGTAACCACATTGTAACAAGGGTACTTGTTTGGGGGGTTGGTTGCTTTATAAGGGGGACCTTGAACCAAAATCATTGGAAACAAAGGGCACCACTGGGCTGCCAAGCTTTCTGTTGGTTCGCAGGGAATGCGGGAATGAGGTACCCTGTATACTCCCTTAAAGGATATATAGGTATGTATATATATATATAGAGGGCCCTAACCAGTAAGAAAGAAGAGGCAAAACCTAAACCCTAAACCCTAAACCGCGGCTCTGTTGGGCTACCAAGTTGCAAATCTGATCACCGGCGGCAAGCTGGATGTGGCTCCACTTCCAATCGGGCTTGGCATCCTTCAACGCCTTCTTCACGGCCCTGACAGGGCTCAGGGTTTAGGGTTTCGGGTTTAGGGCTTAGGGTTTTGGGTTTAGGGTTGCGGGTTTAGGGTTTAGGGCTTCGGGTTTAGGGTTTAGGGTTTAGGGCTTAGGGTTTAGGGTTGAGGGTTTAGGGAGTAGGGATCAGACCCTGAACTGATAAAAGCCCGAAGCCACTCTCGGCACGTTCGGGGACTCTCTAAGCTATGTGCCCAGATTTCGGCTACCCACCATATAACAAAACTGTGTGTATACAAATATAAATAAATATATATATATATATGTATATATGCATATATATATATATATATTTTTTTTTTAATCCATATGTATTACAAGGCAAGGCCAGGTATTAAAATTAAAAGGAGCCCCCCCCCCCCCCCCCCCCCTAAAAGCGATCGTAGATTGCAGAACCGCGCATGCAGAGCTTGTCGCGAGGGAAGCATGCGCAGGGTGCTGTGTCGGCGGCTCAAGCAATAGTCACATCCTGCCTCCGAAGCCTCGAGAACTTCAACAAACTGTGAAGCCTCAAAACCCATACCCAAAGGATCCATGTACCAATATAATTAGTAGATACTTGGGCCCTATAGCTACCATATAGGAACCCCTTTAAGGCCTAAGTATATACTATATAGGCACATGGGGAGAGAAACCCTGGACCCTAAACCCTAAACCCTAAACCCCTGAACCCTAAAAAGCCCCAAACCGCCCCCGGAACCTTATCTTTGTTGACTCGGGAAAACTTCGCGTCATCAACGGAGGGCCAGCAAGTCCACGAATGACCATCTCCACAAACTCTTCCTCGCACAGACCCTAAACCCTAAACCCTAAAAACCCTAAACCCTAAAAACCCTAAACCCGAAACCCTAAACCCCAAACCCCAAACCCTGCGCACAGACAGGGCGTTGAAGGGCTAGGGCGCGGTGCTAGGGTTTGGGGTTGGGATGTTCCCCCTTATACTAGCAGTCCTTGATAGGGATTATAGTACCCCCTATTCTCATCCCTACTAAGGACTGTGAGTAGTAGGGGGGAACATCCCGGGTTTGGGGCTTAGGGTTAAGGTATGGAGATCTCACGGATGCTGGAACAAGACATCGTGCCCCTTGCGAATTTGTACCCAACAGTATGTTCACCCTTGTGAGCTTTGGCAACTAATTCGCATGTGAAAGTTCGTTGCAATTCTTCGCGTCCTTTAGCTGGCCCTGCTAGATGGCGAGGTTTTGCTAGGGATGGCCCTAAACCCTAGCCCTAAACCCTAAGCCCTAAGCCCTAAGCCCTAAACCCTAAACCCTAAACCATAAACCCTGAATCCTAAACGCAGGAACATCGTAGAAGTTGTTTCAGACCAACAGGTGGGCTTGGCTGAGGCCTTCGTCTCCGACCGAGCCCTTAGGGTTTAGGGTTTAGGGTTTAGGGTTTAGGGTTTAGGGTTTAGGGTTTAGGCACAAAGAAAGTCACGGAGCTGAATGCAAAACCTTGACCCCTATACCGTTTTGCAGTTTAGGGTTTAGGGTTTTTGGTTTGGGGTTTAGGGTCTAGGGTTTAGGGGTATAAACCATAAAACCGAAGACCCTTGTAGGGCTAAAGTAAAAACGCTGACAGGCTCGGTTTAGGGCTCCTTTTAGGGAAGGGTGTCTGCCTTAAGTACTGGGTAGTTTCTGGGGTACAAGTTGGGATGTGCCCCCTTATACCGACAGTCCTTAATGGGATTGCCCTGTTAAGGTCCCTATTCAGGACTGCTAGTAGAAGGGGGAACAGGCCAAGGTACAAGGGGTTCGGGTAGAAAGTTTGCGGTGGTGGGTTGGTCCAGAGATCATGATTCAAGGCCCCTTTTGATACCTATCGGGGTTTGGCGTTCAGAGTGTGGGAAGGGCACAACCGGGACTTTCTAGAAGCCCCGATATAAGCCTTAAGTATAGGGGAAGCTAAGGCACGATATTCCATAGCCCCCAACCCGACAAGCAAAACCCTAAGAACCAGTAAGGAACAGACCTTAGGGGCTGAATACCCTAGCCCCAAAAAGGTCAACCTTTCATTTGTACTAGGATTATATAGAACCAAAAGGGTAAAGGCTAACTACCAGGCCCCTAAGAGACCAAGATGATTCGGCCTGATAGCTCTCGGACATGGCTGCAAGCTGTCTCTTCAAGTTCTGGGTGTAGGGTTTTAAGGTTTGGTCTGCGTGTCGTTAAACCAGCTCGTCTCTTAAACAAGGGGTATCTGCCTTGTCCATGTGTGTATATATAATGATGATGATAATAATAAGCAATAATTATAATGATAATACTGATAACAATGCAATAACACTATTGACAATGATAATCAAACATGTAAGGTTCAGGGTTGCAACCGGTAGCACTTGAGCACTTCACTCAAGGCGCTTTTCTCGGGCGACCATGAACGAAAAGGAACCCCGGCAAAGCAAAAGAAGCGATAAGTGGACCCCTGCTGAAAATGGGAGGAAATCATATACATATATGTGTATATACATATATATATATATATTCATACATACATAAGTACATACATATATATATATATATATATATGATGTGCTGATATACATATACATATGTGTATGTATATGTATATATATATAGTACTTCATTCATTTGTACCTGGTTAAGTCAGGCTATTTATAGAGAGAGAAGATATACAACATGCACATGACGTGAAGAAGCCTAGGATCCAGGCCTGGAAGCGCTTGAGCAGGTGCGACGTGGGCATTTGGAGTTTTTAGGGCTTAGGGTTAAGGTTTACGGTTTACGGTTTTGGGAGGGTTTAGGGTTTAGGGTTTAGGGTTTAGGGTTCCGGGGCAGAATTTGCTGCACTAGACACGGGTCTGACTGCTCGCAACCGGAATCCTCCTGGTTACCTTCAAACAGAACTTCACCTCCGTCATGAGAACTTGCCAGAGCATCACGCCACCGCAGGAAGCTGTCAAGACTTGCCGCCACATTAACCGCTTGGCCTAGACCGGGCACGATTGTAGTTCCTTGATGGGGGGGGGGGGGTACCTGGGGGTACCTAGATTTGAGGCCCGCACAATCGCAACACTTAGTATTAGCGAAGCAGGTACTCCGAATAGGAATGGCAATTGGAAGGTTTTGGTCGGCCAGAAACCACATACAACCCTCATTGACACTATATTTGGGCCCCTTAAACCCTTAAACACTAAACTCCAAACCCTAAACCGTGGCTCTGGAAGGACAGGGTTATCCTTCAGAACCAGAAACTTGGTGGCTGGGGGGGGGGGGGCGCCTTGACGTTAGTCCTCCTGGCCACCATCATGCGCAGCCAGAACCTGAAAGCCGGTCGTTCTTCAGATGCTTTAGGCTTAGGGACTTCAGGGTTCAGGGTTTAGAGCTTAGGGTTTAGGGCTTAGAAACCCTAAACCCTAAACCCTAAACCCTAAACCCTAAACCAGGGGGGGGGCTCCTTGTATGGCTGCAAGTCCAACATGGCCAGGCCCAACTCGGTGCAGCAATGCCGAGGCGCTGACCGTCTATTGAAAGGGCTTTAAGGTTTAGGGCTTAGGGTTTAGGGTTTAGGGCTTAGGGTTTAGGGTTTAGGGTTTAGGGTTTAGGGTTTAGGTTTTAGGGTTTAGGGTTTAGGGTTTAGGGTTAGGGTTTAGGGCTTTCTGTCAGGGAGCAGTGTCCTTTCCCGACCTCCAAGGAACCTTAGGGGGCTCTTTAGGGCCGGGGGGTTCAAAGGGGTAGGGGAACCCAAAGTTCCCTAATTCTCCCCACTACTCCCTAAGGCTCCCTAAGCTTCCCTAGGTAGCTACCCCCATGAACCCCCCCCCCCTCCCTTAAGAAGCCTACAAAAACCCCCCCTAACCCCCCCCCCCCTAAGACGCTGAAATCCTGAACCCGAAGCCCAAAACCACTTTGAGGTTTTGGGTCTTTGACTCACTCCTATGTCTGCACCGACATCTTCCTACTCTGAAAATGATGTTGTAATATGGGGGTGGCCTATTTACTTAGAAACGCCACTAAGAGAAGGGGCCCCCTGAACCATACTAAGTCTAGTTCAGGGACCTATAGGATCCTGAAAGCTTCCTTATAACTCTAAGAATAACTACGGGGGGGGGGGGGGGGGGGGCCTTCCTTGTATGAGTAGTAGCTCATGCTTTGGGGATGCACGGGGGATGTTATTGGGAATTGCTTCGGCTCCTGGCGCTCACTGCAGGATCCCCCAAGCCAATCCAGAAGTCACAATGGCCGGGCGCAGAGCATAAACACCATGAATATGAGGACGAGGAGTATGATGAGCCAAATCCTCCCAGAGCCGGAGATTGGGCCGAGGGGCAGTGCTTCAACGTACGAGAGCTCGTCTTCTGAATACAGAAAAACAAGGGCGATTCCTACAAGCATGTGGGGGGGGTGTTTCCGAAACTAGGGGGTACCTTATTGGGGCCCTAATGATAAGGGAATCCTTCTATTTGGGGGTCTATATTAGGGGGTCCCTTCTTTTCGGCAACCCTCATGGAACATTGAAGGGATAAGCTCTTAAGTTCGGGACTCAGAGCTTAGGCTTAGGCCCTAATACTAAAGGCAGGGGCAGTTGGGCGGCGAATTTATTATGAGCTGAGAACGAACCGTTGCTGATAGTCCATGCGTTGGTCTAGATAAGGGTCTCCTTACAAGCACCTTTGATCATAGGTTTCATAGTTGAAAAGGGTTCCCCCGAAGGGACCCCAAACCCTAAACCCTAAACCCTAAACCCTTAAGCCCTATGTGCTGACGAGATCTCTACATCCACCCTCAGACCTGCCCCTGACAGTGCGCGAGACAATTCCCTGCCAAAAGCCCCCGGTTACAGCCTCCCAAGTAGGGTTTAGGGTTTAGGGTTTAGGGTTTAGGGTTTAGGAATTAGGGCTTAACATAGCAAAAAGGACGCTGCTGTTAGCTCAATGATGTAATGTAAACATAGCCCTAAACCCTAAACCCTAAACCCTAAACCCTAAACCCACATAGCCCTAAACAAGTTGGGGAAACAAACTGCCACTGAAGATCCTGGACCCCTCCGTCCCCTACGAGGCCTGGTGATGAAAGCCATGATCTCAGCGAGCTGGGTCCTGCGGCCCCCCTAAACCCTAAGCCCTCAGCCGGTTTGGGGTTTAGGGTTTAGGGTTTAGGGTTTAGGGTTTAGGGTTTAGGGTTTAGGGTAAACCCTAAATCCTAGATCCTCAAACCAAAATCTATGTACAATATTAGCCGAAGGCACCGAGAAAAGAACTTCAACTACGTCAAGGTCTAGGTGCATAAACATCTCAAGGTTTAGGGCTTACAGGGTTTAACCCTGAACCCGAAAAACCCTCAAACCCTAAACCTCGAACCTCAACCCTATACACCCCTAACTCCATAAACCCTGAACCTATAACCCGAGGACCCTATAAGCCCTATGAACCTTGAACCCTAAAACCTAAACCCAAACCCTAAACCCTAAACCCTAAACCCTAAACCCTAAACCCTAAACCCTAAACCCTAAACCCTAAACCCTAAACCCTAAACCCTAAACCCTAAACCCTAAACCCTAAACCCTATGAACCCTCGACCCGGTAGCCGACTGTCTGACGTGACAGCTCCCCTCGAAGATCGAAGATGCCCTCTAAGACTCTCAGACCCGAGGATGCGGACACCGCATATGCCCGAAACCTTCAGCAGCCCTTTTAGGGTTTAGGGTTTAGGGTTTAGGGTTGAGGGTTTAGGGTTTAGGGTTGAGGTTTAGGGTTTAGGGTTTAGGCTAAGGGTTTACTGCTGCAGGGCCTGCGAAGAATGCCTGCTCACATCGCTCCGCAGCCCCATGCTGCGATCCTGTCGCATCTCTGCCGCAGCCAGTGCAGTGGAGGTTGCATACTCTGCAGTCTCCACCCTCTCCGGCCCTTCTGCGATCTTCTTCACTGCAAAGTAGCCAGCACCAACAGCCACTGCAGCCATGGTAGAACCCAAGGGGAGGCCCGCAAGCACCCCCAGCTGCAGGCTTTGTTCCCCCGGCTAGACTTATGTCAGTATAGCCAGCAGCACCGTTTTGTCTGGGATAGTCGCTGACTGACTGGGCTTTGTAAACTCTGTAAAAAAAGACTAGACCCGGGAGTAGCCTAGGAATAAAAAGGGCACCCTTTTTGGTTTTACGGGGATTATAAGGGAACCCCAACCCTAAAAAAAGAAAAAAGGGCCTACGTACTCCCGGTCCTAGAAGACCCTTACAGTTGAGGGTGTAAGAACCCCACCTAGAGTCCCAACGCGTCTGTGTGCGTGGTTCCTTCTTGCGTGGGGCACCTCATGTCACAACTCCCTTATTTAAGAAATCATACAACCAGGTACCACCCCCTCCTCCAGACCGAATCTTAATTCTGTGCACCCCTGGGCTGCACCCTGAGCTCGGACGTCGGACACCTACACCCTAAACCCTACACACATGGGATTTTACCTTGGGCCTCTAAGGTTGTCCCTTGGGTTTGGGGACCCTTGTTAAGCATCCTCGAGGCAGTATAATTTCGAAAACAGGGGAACCTTTAGGGGTACAACCTTTACGGTACGAGTCTTGATCCCCTGAAAAACCATACTAAACCCTAATCCCTAAACCCTAAACCCGCCTCAACCCCTTACGCCCAACAAATCACACCGGAACCTGTCAGACCCTCACGCCTTAAGCGCCAATGCAAGACCCTCAAAAGTCTGAGCCATAAACCCTAAATCCTAAACCCTAAACCCTAAATCCTAAATCCCTAAACCCTGAACCCATAAACCCTAAATCCTAAACCCTAAACCCTAAATCCTAAATCCCTAAACCCTGAACCCATAAACCCTAAATCCTAAACCCTAAACCCTAAATCCTAAATCCCTAAACCCTGAACCCATAAACCCTAAATCCTAAACCCTAAACCCTAAATCCTAAATCCCTAAACCCTGAACCCTAAAGCCTAAAAATCGAAGTCAACCCGCAAGTCCTGATTTCCCGAACACAAGAACCCCTAAACCAAGCCCCACCACATTGTCGTTCCTTTGTTTGGGTGCCCAACATACTTCCCAAGCCCATTCTTTGAAACTACAGCACCACGACCGAACAAATATTGATGACAAGTCGAAACCCTAAGACCTGCTTCCACCTGTTCCCCCCAAA